GTTGGTGCCGGGACGGTGGTTTCCGCGCGCAGGGGCGGTCCGGGGGGGAGGGAGGAGGGAGCTCCCGGTTCGGTGTCGTGAGCTCCTCGTTCGGTTTCGTGAGCTGAAGCGAGTCCCGCTGGCTGTTTCCTGCCCGCTGCTGTCGCCCTGCGCGGTGGCCTTGGGGACCCAGGCGGCGGGTCGGGCCCTTGGCCGCGGGGTGATGGTCGAAGAGGGGCCTGGTTTTCCTCGCTGCCTGAGCGCTCAGTTTCGTGAGGAAGTGTCTGCAGCTGAGAGTCTCAGTTTCAATTCTTGCGTTTTTCAGCCTTAGCTTCAGTAGTTAATAAAGTGAAATTCGTTTTCTCGGAATGTGCATAAGTGGCTTACACCATCTGACTAGGACGGGCGGGCTCTTCAGTCACCACTATTTGGTGAGACTTTGCATCTCTGATAAAACAGGATATTAAACAAATATGTTGATAACAAGTCAAGTCCCTGTCCAGGCAGTTTTGGCATTTGTCATCAATGCGGTAGGTTGTTAGTTCTTTTAATTGGAACGCCTTGCAGGGTGGTCATCTACACATACAAAAATTCATTTTGAAAGGTCTTGTCTACCTTAATTGGCCTGTCAGCAGTGGCTTTGTAGCTGTGTAGTGCCCAGGTGCCTCTTAACAACTGTCTGTTGTATAAACATTGCTGCCAGTAGGTACTTGTTGTGGCCAAAATATGTTGGTTAACCAGATATCACTTGTGCTAAATTGAAAAACTGTAGAACTATAATGATCATTCTAGCCATCAGCTATCAGTTGATAGCTCTTCACAGACTTCTTAAAAAAAAAAAAAACAGTAATTGAAAGGTGAGCTAGTTGTTATATTCCTGACCTTTTATTTTTTTCCCCCTCCCGTGTAAGGTGTATTTTCATCTTTGTGTCTGTTATTTTTGGGCCATTATCTCTTAAATCAACTGCAGAAGAGTCCAGAAAAGTCACAGATGATTAAAAGTACTGCTGGATCTACAAGTTGGCAAATGCTACTTATACTTGTCTCCTTTCTTTGATTATTACACAGATTATTCTACTACCCATCTCTTTTTATTAGGCTGTTTTAGAACATGGTGTTTTTCTCCATGTAGCCATGTAGTGTACAGTGCAAACATTTTTTACTGAAGTAGTACTGAACTACCCCAAGACTGTTTGCTCCCCTGGAGTGAGACAGAGTGTAAAAGTACAGAATTTGGTTTCTAACTGTCAGTCCTTTACCAGCCATAACAGAGCAAGGTTTAGGTTCGGTGTTACACTTTGTAAAAAGAAACTGGGTAGTGCTTGTGTTAGTATTATTTATGAATCTTTTGTAAATATGGTCTTGGACAGTCTTGTTGCAGTGCTGTATAAATTTTGGAAATTTGTGTTCAAACAAATCAACTAAAGTAATCTTTATTTTGTGCTTGTATTTACAGTTAGTGCAGAACTTCTTTTCTCTTTGGAGGTGACTTCATACCTGCTGAGTTCTTTGTAAGGACTCATTGTTCAGTGGACAGCACATCAGAAGCAACTGTGTAAGTAATTATAATGGACAGGTATGGAATTTATGATACTGTTTATTGAACAGATCAGAGAGAAAGGGGTTAGAAATAGATGTTATGTGTTCATGCATTGTTTAGAAAACATATTTGATGAAGAGGGAATAACTTTGGAGCATGTAAAAAAAAAACGAGTAGCTTGTTGGCAGATAGGAACCCTCTCTTTGCCACCCTCTCTTTGCCACCCTCTCTTTGCCACCCTCTCTTTGCTCTCAGAGGTTTTTTGTTTGAGATGCCTATTTAGAAGAAATTGTTTTACATTCTGTTCTGAGATGCAAAGTACAAAGTGATCAGGTTAGTTTGTGTATTCTATTTTTATTTTTTGCACTTGATTTTTTTTTTGTAAACCTGCTCATAAACTTTTTTCTTCCTGTATTGCTGCTGTTTTCCTCAGAAATAATGCATCGTTAAAAAAAAAAAGAAACTTTCAACATTTTTAAGTATTCTTTATTTGTATCATACATAAATGTTGCAGTGAGTATGCAGTACTTTTTGTAGGTAAAGGGTTTTTCCTCTGTAGGCTCAAAAGAAAGAAACTTCATTGAATAATTATTCTTGATAAGCCCCATGATTGATTTCAGAAAAGTGTTCTCAGAAAGTTAGTGTTTTAATAGTCTAAGTTAGATCAAAGGTATAAAAAGAGAGATAAAGCAACACCGGGAATGCAGAAAGTACATTGAATTGGCACTAACAAGAATGAATGGTAAGATTCTTGTGAAGATAGTAAGATCCATGCTTGGCTATCATCCTGAAAACCCAAAGCATAGATTTGTTGTCATGCAATCTAGCATTTTTAAATTCTTTTGTTATTCTATGTAATAGTGCAAGTACAAAGATTTAAGTAGGTAGACAGAAAGGCATCATTTTTTTTTTAAAAAAAAGAACTCAAACAGCGTCATATTTCCCCGGGAAAGTTTGGTTTCTTGAAAGAAGATAATAGCCTGATGAAAAATCACTTTTTTTTTAAATAATAAAACTATTTCTTAATAGCTTTGTTAACTCTTTACTCTTGCAAGGATGTTCATAATGAGAATGCTAATACATTTGAAGCATGCGTTATGTGAGTGCCTCTAATTGTCAAAAGTTCAGTAATTGAAAGTGAAAGAGAAATACCGGTCTTTCTTTTTTTTTTTTTTTTCCCTCCAGAAAAACCCCAAACTCTTAAAGTGTAAGCAGGAGACTGAGGCTGATAATTTTGAAATTAAAGACATTTGGAATTTAAGCATTAACAAGATTTGGCAATTTGAGAGGGAATTGTATCGGATGTTCAGGTTGTAAGAATGATTTTTAGATGACTGCTAAGATCAAGTGGATATGTAAGCACTGTAGTCCAGAAAATATACATGAGCACGTTTGTGTATTTCCCTGCATGTACACTTAAATGAGCAGGGTGTGGCTGGAATGATTCTGTATTCATGTAAGTCAAGTTAATTCCGGCTAAGTCATGTCAGAAAAGATGAGCAAAGGAAGAGACAGGGTGGAAGGAGGTACAAATTAATACTGTTAGAACTGAGGGAAATAAACAGGGACCTCTAGAGCTAGTCCACCCTAACTTCCTGCTCAAAACAGGGTCAACCAGAGCAGATGGTCAGGCCCCTTCCAGTTGGTACTGAATGTCTCCATAGATGGAAGCTCTCCAGCCTTTCTGGTCAACCCGTTACTGTGTTGGCCACCCTGACATGAAAAAAAGTTCTTTCTTTTGTTCCTGTGTTCGGACAGATTTCCTGTATTTCAGTTAGTGCCCACTGCTTGTCACTGTGTCACTGGGCACAACTGAAGAGTCTGGCTGTGTATTCTTTACTCTCCTGCATCAGGTACTTATACACATGGATAAGATCCCCTTGAAACGTCTCCTCTACAGGTTAATCTGTCCAAGTTCTTGCTGCCTATCCTTGCGTTTCACATGTTTCTTGTTATCTTTGTGACTTTTTTGCTGCAATTGCTGTGCTCTCTTCTTTCCTGATCCTGAACTGCAGGCAAAGGTGACTCCAGAATTCACATTCATGTATGTTTCTTTTCTATAAGCATGAGGAGCTCTCCTGATTAGCATTAAGACTGGTTGTGTCAGGAAATTATCACTAATGGTCTCCTAAACTGTGCGCTGCTGTGTTGCTTCCTAGCACATATCAGGATGGTTAAAGTTGCTGATGAGCACTGGGTGTGTGAACTGGCAGCTTCTTTCAGTTGTCTAAGGAATGCCTTGTCTACTTATTCTTTATGATCAGATAGTTTATAACAGACCCATCACAACATCGCCCACACTGCTCTTCCCACAAATGCTGATCTGTAAGCTCTCAACTGGTTCATCATCTTCTTTAAGGTAGTTCCATGCATTCCCATTGCTCTCTTGCATATATGGTGACACCCTGTCCTCACCATTCCAGCCTGTATCTACGCATTGCAGCGCTCCAGTCATGTGAGCTATTCCATTGTATCTTTTTTATACCAATGAGGTTGTTACCCTACAGCTGCACACAGACCTCTAATTACTCCTGTTTGTTCACAATGCTGCATGAATTGGTGTGTAAGTACCTCAGATGCACACCCAGTTGTGCAAATCCCCATGAAAAAAGTTTACTCAAATAGGCTGCCTGTTGGGCAGTAGTTTGTGTGTTTGGGAATAAAATCTGTTGCAATATGCTTATGCAAAGGCATCCTACCAGGAAAATAAATGCTGGTAGTCCTTCCCTTGAACTTTCTAATGAGTATCACCTAAACCCTTCTGTGCTGGTCAAGAACAACAAAAAAAGTAGTTCTGAAGTTTTTAATGTGAGTCTTGGCTTGAGCAGTACATGCTAAACACTAAAAGAATAGAAAACTTGATGTTTTAAGTATGAAAAATAGTAGGAAAGCATGTCATTGTAAGATTCCTCTTCTTGATTTATGTTGAAGACTTTAGGGAAGTGTGTTCCCATTCTGTGCAGATTTGTTACAAATGGTACATGGTAAAATTTTTGAGCAAAGAGGAAAGACAATATGCTCCCCAGAAGCTTGTGAAAATTTTGTCACATCAGCTTTAAAAGTTAATCTTCTAATATGCCTTGGGAAGATACAATAGGCAGGTGAAAATGTTTGTATGCTTTTCTACTGCCACTTGGCAGATGCTATTTGCTACCTTTTCTTATGACTTACTGGATTTCCCAGGCATTTGCTTTACTTGCATATTGGTGATAAATGTTGCTTTTAAATAAGATGCAGCTAGTTAATAAAATCAGGAGATAGCTGTCTTCCTGATACACTAATGTAAAAGTGAAACATAAATTTCATTTAGTTCATTAAATCATAAACTCAGTTTTTGTTTTTCCTGTTTAATATGTTTGGAAACGTGTAGGTTGTATGATACTAGTTGCATTTTTTTTTTTTTTTGTAATCTCTCTAGATTTTTTCTCTTCGTGGATGTGGCAAATTGTCATCTGTTTGTGTCCAATGGGTCTACAAATTCACTTTGTGGTTGACCCTCAGGGTTGGTGCTGCATGGGCCTCATTATCTTTGTCTGGCTGTACAACACGATCTTCATTCCCAAAATCATCCTTTTTCCTCACTATGAAGAGGGACATGTTTCAGCTGTGGTGATTTTGTGTAAGTCAATTTAACTTAGTTCTGGAATTTCATGGGAAGGCTGAGTAATTTCCAACACACTGCTGCAGGATCTGCATTTTTGATTCAGTGGAAACTATCTTCTGGACCCCTCTGAGAATAAAATTTGTTTCTACTGAAGACCAAAACTGAGTTTCTTCTTCAGGCCAAGGGTTACTTATATATGGTTGATTCCAACCATGGATAGTTTTTACAGTATGATTAATGTGTATATTTCTAAACATTAATATATTGTAGTTTGGGCAGCATATCTTTAGGTGGTAGTTTATTTTTTCTTTTGAAACACCCATTTTTTTCAATATTTGTTTGAATGCAAGGTGAAGAATATTATATTTTTGTTTTGGAAAGTATAAGAAAGCTTGCAGATGTTTTATCCTAAAATTCCATGTAACTGTTGTTTCTTTAAATGGGGGCTACAGTTTTCTGGTATGTTATTAAGAAATACTTGAAATTAAAACTTAGTAAATAGGAGTTGGAAGAGTCAGTTTGACTTTGAATCTTTGCAGGAATGAGGCTGAGCTATCTTTTCCATTACTGGTAAAGGGCAGAGGCTTGCTGGCATGCACATGCTGCTCATGTCAGTGTTTGAAATAGGACTTCGAATCCTCAGTTTTACTGCTTTTAAACATCCAACATTCTTGGAGGATAGTTTAGGGGATAGGCCTATCATAAGCAAATAATGGCACATTGTTAGGGGTTAGTGAAAGAAGTGGGGGGAAATGTGCTCCTCCCTAGAGCTGGAGAAAAGGTGGAGAATCACTTTCTTCTTACAAGCTTTTCAGTTTGTTTTCTTGAGTATCTTTGATGAGACACTGACAGCTCGAGTTGTAGGCTAAAGGGAGATGCACCTAGCAGGTCCAATATCACAATTCTTGTATTTGTAAAACCATCTGGCCAAGTGTGTCTGGAAGAGCACATTCCCTTGCAGATTCCAAACCATGTTCTGTGAAACTTGGGTGGGTGGCCAAAGACAATTCATACGACTGAAGGATCTGTGAAGTTTTGTTGATTAAAAGGTTGCATTCCAATGCTTGCGTCCTTGTATGTTACTCAGCTCAATTCATGGGGCTTTATCCAATAAATACAAAAGTTGATGAATGTACAGATGTCAATACAATTTGTTCTATGGGTTTTTTTCTTTCGGTTCTTCTAAAAGCTGAACAAATTACTTATATGACCATAATTTTAACCATCTATTAAAGTAAGTGGGGTAGAGTTTTAAAAAACATTTTTGGGTTTTGAATGCTTCAATGATTAATCTTTTAACACTTGCTTAACGCTTACTTTTTTTAGAAGTCTAAAATACCATTGACTGTAATCAGGTGAACTTTTTTGGTATGTTATTTTATCATTTTTTTACACTTTTTTCTTGCATTTTTACTAGTTTGAAGTAATTAGTATGACGTGTTATTACTCCTGCTTTTTTTTTCTGCACATGTGTAACTGTCATTATATATTTTTCAGGTTATTACTTTTGTTCGTTGTTTTGTATAGCTTCGTTACTAAGAGCCTCAGTAGCTGATCCAGGAAAACTACCTGAAAACCCAAAGATACCACTTACAGGTATAAGGTATTTTAAGTAATATAAGATTAGGCTGCTGCAGGTGTTTATCTCAATTCTAATAACTCCTAGATTATAAATAACAATAATAGCAAAATTTAGATTCTTTGGTATTTTTTGAACAAAAATCACTGTTATACCTTCAGAACAGTTAGGATTCTGATCTGATACTTCTGACTTGCTGCTATTTGCTAAAAAAAATGTTGAGATATTTAGTGAATATAATTATTTATCTTTTTCCTAAGCATGTTTATGAGGGATTAAAAGCTGTAGTGTAAGATTGATTTTGCCTGCTTGTGAAGGACACATTTTATTGCACTGAATTACTTTTGTATGGTGTGTTAGCCAAATAAACATGGCAGTGGTTTATCCCATAATTCCTGTTTGGTAGCTACGACACCTGAAATGGAGAGTTTAAAATGTTCCTAATTCTCCATGGAGAAAACTAATGTTTAAATGAGCTACTTGTTTTGTGATGTTCAGGGTTTTTTTTTTTTTTTAAAGGATTGAACTTTTATGTGGCAGTTTAGAATGCAATAGGGCAATTAAACAGCTTGTCACATAAACAGGAAATACTTTGTGAATGTAGAAGATGTATCAAATGGAATGAATGGTGAATGTTTCATTGTCTTACTGCAAAATTCTTGAGGCCAGGAGTAACATTGCTTTCTTGAAGAGCAGTGAGAATCTAGGGTGAATCCGTTTGGAAACACTACCTCTTTGGCCTCAGCCCTGAGGTGACAAGTTACAAACTACGCAGGAGGAAGGAATTTATCTCCCTGAGGTTCAGATCTGAAGTTGAACTTAGGAAGTCTCATGTCAGGGTTCTGCTTCTGATAGTTAAGCCTTTTATCAGGTAAGAGGAAAAGTGACTTAAGCATGTGTTTCTTGCTCAAAGCGTGCTGCAGGTATAGCAACATGGAATATGCAGTCTGATATGGTGAATGAACACACTTTAAGTTACAGACAAGTTCATTACTGAATTTCTTGCTTCTTTCACCGCAAAATACCAGGATTAATACAAATCAATACAAACCATTTACTTTTATGCACAAATACTTCTTGCTCTTTTGAATATCTTGGAATAGCCCTCCCAAAAAGTTTGGAAATTAATATGAGGTTTCACTTATTTCATGATATGCTGATGTATTCCATGATGTGCTGTATAAGGGGTTCTATTCTTTTTACAGTAGTACTTAAGTTCTCTGGTGTTCTTTAGGTTGGTAGCAAGACAATTTTTCTATGGTCTAAATCCTATTGAGTAGTGAGGGTGGGGTGTTTCTGAGCTCATCTAATAAGCACCCTATTAGGGAATGACGCCTTTGTGACATGGGAACAGATTGTAACTCGGTTTCCATCTGGCATTATCACTAGTTCAATGATCTCAGATATTACTGGGTTTCTTTACTTCAAGTTCAGATTGTTATTTTACAGCAAGAAAGACAAGATGAAAGCTGCCAGCAGGTGGCCCAGACCTGCTAAATTTAACTGTATTGTCTTTACACAGTGACAACTGTTTTACCATACAAGATTTCAGAATAATGAAAATCTAAGCATAACTTTACTTTTCTCTTTGGGATTTAATAAATTTCTCTGCGTTAAAAATAGTTCTGCTAAAATGGAAATAATCAATTGGAGCATTTTAATATTCTCAAGCATGCAACTATTTCCTTCAAAGAAAAAAAAATATTTCTGAGTTAAAGTATTACAGCATTGTTGTTATTCTGTTTTTCAAAGGTTTCCTCTACCTTGGGGGAGCCAGTTTGGGATAAGTAATATAGTTAAACTGAAAATAGTAGCTCTTTATTTCAGCTATAGTACTTGTCAATATTCCTAGTCACTCTGTGCAGATCAGCTTAAAGAATGTCACATTGGTCATTCAGAACTAGTGTATATTTTTAATTACAAACCTATCTTACATCTGTGTGTTTTTTGTTGCCCTATCTATAAAAGTATGTTTTTGAGATGCATATCTTAAAATACTTAAGAGAAGGCAGATAGTTGAGAAGTGTTCATTGTGTCTTTTATTTTAGTTAGCTTGTTTTGACAAGTATGCGTAGCAGTCTTTCCTCAGAAGAGTTTGGAATAGTAAGGAGATAGTACTGTGAGACTACTTAGCAGGTATGTTTTTTCACAATAGATGTATGAAAAAAGAATAGGACTATGGAGATTTAGAATGAAAGATATGATTTTCCTTGTTTATACCTTGTTTGAGTGGCAACTTTTGTACTATAATAACAACTCTAAAGAAATATATAGAAAGAATGTTTTGGAAAGGGAAGCTGGCAGAAAAAAGTAAAATAAATACTACATCTTCTGATTTAATTAAGGTTGCAATGTGGAAAAAAGATTTCTTAGTTGCATAGTTTTGACCCTTGTTCATAGTTCATGCGTTGTTTATAGTAGGACTTTTTTTTTCTCTTGGAATCAGTAGCATTTATCATGAGTTTGCTGTATCATGTTTAAATCTCTCTGATCTGTCTCTAATATTTTTTTCTAGAAAGAGAATTTTGGGAATTATGTAACAAATGCAACATGATGAGACCAAAGCGCTCCCACCATTGTAGCCGTTGCGGACATTGTGTTAGGAGAATGGATCACCACTGCCCTTGGTAAGACCATGCATTTGTTCTCACAGTCTGGTTTTAGTGAACCAGGTCTTTTCCTATATTTTCATGACATTGACAAGTTCCTTGATTATTGCTGATTTGTCTTTTTTTTTTTTTTTTTTTTAGCCCAATTGCATTTAGTTGTTTAGGTGGTTAGAGAAGGGGGAGAGGGGTAAGAACACTAGGCATAGAAACAAACAGACATAAGACATTGTAAAACATAGAATTTATGATTATTGGGATGGAAAAAATTATTGTATCTTTTTTATAAAAACTGAATATGGTGGTGGTGTGTATTTTTTTGTTTTGGTTTGTGTGTTTTGTAGTTTTGATTTTTAGTTTACTGAAAGATACCTTCAGGGCTCTGGATAGAACATGTTACTGCCTTGCACTATACCCCACTTTTGTATTTCTGATTTTCTACTGAGATTGGTCATGTGTTTCATAATTAGTTTCAGTCAAAATGAACCAAGTCAAGTGGTTTAAACTATGTCAAGCTGTTTTTTTGTTGCTTAAAATGAAGATGAACATTTCTGCCATGATCTGAGGGGTCATTTCCATCAAGACAGCAATGATGAGCTGCAGAGGACAGAATTGAGGTCAGGATGCTCCAAATTGATTTAGTCATTTTTCAGAATACCCTTTTTTGTGTATCCCAAGTTTAGAAAATAGTGCCAATATAATGCATTTGTCATTATGGCTTTGCTTGGTATTAATGTCTGTGCCAGTGCTTGTAGTAGAGTTATCATGCTTGTATGAAGCTGCACCCTGAACAACTTAATTTTAATCAGTGCAAGTTCTGTGAAGCTGTCTAGACCCAGTTTTCAAAGGTTTTGAATCTCCCAGTTAGTATTTACAGAATCCTTGCTATTCTTTCCTCCTTTGTGTTACTGTCTGAAAAATAAATTTCTTATTAGAGGTGCCTATTCTGTCTTCCAGTGTCTTATGTTCCTTCCTAAGTCATATATATCTTATTGGGGTACTCTGTGATTTCATTTATTTCAAACTAGTCATAATACTGCAAATTTTTGCAAATTTTTTATCATTTATCGTCTTGTTACTTGAGCGTTATTTAAAATTGTGACATATCACATGGTGTAGCTTTGTAACATGAATACAGGGAGAACTATACCACAGAATCACACAGAATCACAGAATGGTTGAGGTTGGAAGGGACCTCTAGAGATCATCTAGCCCAACCCCCTGCTCCAGCAGGGACACCCAGAGCACGTGGCACAGGGTGGCATCCAGGCGGGTTTGGAAGATCTCCAGAGAAGGAGACTCCACAGCCTCTCTGGGCAGCCTGTTCCAGGGCTCTGTCACCCTCACAGTAAAGAAATTCTTCTTCCTGTTCAAAAGAGTCATTTCAGTAATTTATCCTACACTTCAAGTGACAGTGTATGCAATCATCTTCAAAATAACTTCCATCTTTAGCATAGAGACCATCACTTTCATTAAGACTTGAGTGATTAGTCAGTAGCTTTTGTGTGCTGCCTATGAATTATCATAACTTTCTATTACACATAAGTGATAGTAATCTTCATTTGTCTCTCTGTATTGTAACTACTGTTTTAAAAAGCCTTGATGTCTTTATATATGCTTTGTTTCTCTGCAGGATTAATAACTGTGTTGGTGAAGACAATCATTGGCTGTTTTTGCAGCTATGTTTCTACACTCAGATTCTTAGTTCTTATACGTTGATACTTGATTTCTGCCATTATTACTACTTCTTGCCACTGAAAAAAGATAACTGGGTAAGAATCTGATTTCTCTACAATGTGAATAAATAGCTAATATCACACTTTACTTTGATATTTGTGTACTAAATTTTACTGTCATGTCAGCTGATCACATCCATGTATATTTTCAAATGAGCAATTAGATTTTTGATAAGTAACAGAGTAATGTTCTGTACTGAGTAACGTCTCTATGTTGAAAAGACAACATTAATTTTTGAAAAAAGTCTAGGAAAGGATGATATAACTGGTGAGATTGCTTTTGACATCCCTGGTGAATACTGGAAAGAAACAACATATCTACTTCAGTGGTGCTATTTCCTTTTGGCTTTCTCCAAAGCAAATACGTGCAGAATATATTTTTCTATCTTCTACAAGGAATACGGGTATTGCCAGAGAAGTGCAAAAAAAAACATCCTTTTGAAAGGAGAAAAATGTATATCGCTTTGGAAGCGATATTTTGTGCAACTTTGAGGAGATTGAGAAATATGGGTAAGGGTAACGTGAAATTTGGGTTGCGTACTATTATGTTGTTTCAAGGTTGTCTCTGCATAATGCAGCTGAATACCCAAAGATTAAAAATGGACTTAAAAATTGGAATACAGTGGAAAAAATGTTCTTCAGTTACGAAACTGAAGCTGTAAGTTCTCTGTAACCAGTACCTGTTTATCCATGTTGTCAATAATGTTAAGAATATTCCGGAGTTTTGCTTGAAAGTTTTTGAATGTTGACGGTACTGAAGCAGGAAAACAGATAGTCTTCTGAAACTTTTTTTTTTTTTTTAAAAAAAGTAAAAATCTCTACCCAAAATCTGAAATAAGCTTTTTATTTGTCTGAAAAGTACAAGCATACTAAATAAAAAAGCCTAGAAAGCAGAGTCTGAGTTAGAATTAAGATTATGCCGTTATGCCTCTGGTGCCATGTGTGAAGAAGAGACCAGAACAATTCGAAAGATTGGTAAAGGACACTAAATTTAGTTCTATTCTGTGCTTTTTTGTTTGTTTGCTTTTGTTTTTCCCAAGTCCGTAAGGGCTGCAAACTTTTTACTATGTTTTGATGTCACACACCAGCATATTTTCTTGTGGTCACTTCACACCCATCTTTCAAGAGTGCTGGAAACTGGCACTCAGTTATAGGTAAGGCAAGTCCTATTTTTTCCCCTTTTGGTAAACATTGCAAAAGCTTTTATATCCTAAATGGTATAAAGTAGGATTACTACACTTTCTGAAAATCTTCTAATTTTGAAAAATAATTGGACTTACCCTTTAAGTTCTTATTGCTCTTCAGTCTGCACTGGGTCCCCAGGGAAACATGTGAAGGTGATGAGTCAAATGATAGTGGGGAAAAATACAGGAAGACTGCGCTCTTTGGAACATCCCAAATAAATAAGTCTTAAGTTGTTAATGGCAATTTTCTATCACTTTGAGTGTAGCAAAATTGCGAATTTTTGCTGATCTTTCTCAAAATAGCATATCACCTCAGAAGCATAAAGTTATTTTAACTCTCTCATTTATATGAGGTTCCCATTTAAAGATTTTAAATGATTTTAGAAGCATTGAAAACAGAAGAGGGTTTGTGTGCTTTGATCGTCTTTCTGGATGCAATTAACCCAAGTTCTGACTGTCGCTTTTACTTCTTAAAAGAGGGGTTGGTATATATCGAATTCTTTGATGGTCAAGTGGAGAGATGGGAAATAATGTTTGCTTTGGTTAGATTAGGACATCTTGATGTTGAGTAAATGGTTTTGAAAGTGGCTATGTGTAAAACTTAGGTCTTCATTGTTCAGCTGGGTTAATTTGAAGCTTTTTGGAGAAAAGCCAGTGTTTAATATGTGGCCCTAAGAAGGTGTGGTGAGTTAGGGTGAAGAGCCCTCGCTTACTGTAAGCCAGTTCAATGCATTTGCCTGAGTTGTAGGTAGGGCACTTGATTCCTGTGTTTGGATGTTACAGAGTCATGAAAAACGTAGCTCATTACAAGGGATTGTTTTGGTCATGATGATCAGTTTGCATATATGGACACCTCAAATGATACTTTGGAAAAACCAGATCTGTGTTACAGTTTGTGCTTCAAAAGGATAAAACTGTTTAAACTGTACATAAACTTGGTACATATAGAGGTTTTCTCATTTTTTTTAGCAACAGGTTGAGGTGTCCTAGTAGAAGTACAGAAAATTAAGATTTTTTGGGGAGAGTCTAGTCAGCATTTTTGCCTGGAGGTCTGCATAGGTGATTTTTGATAGTGTTGCTAAGGTTGCTAAGGATTTGATAACGTGTAACTGTGCGCCACAGAATCGTTTGTCAGAATTATGTCCTTTTGACATCACATGAACCAAACATATGATAAGACATTGGTTGGGTATCTGGGCAAGCATCCCACAAGACTGTTTTGATTTTCCAGTGAAAATTAAGCCTGAAGTACCTGGGCATTCTAGAGAACCTAACATATTCTGCCTTTCACAGACATGTCACAGACATCTCTGGGCTAGCCATGAGCTTTTTTTTTTTTTTTTTCCCTTTAAATTGATAGGGTTTACCACAGATTGGGTAGTTTTTCTGAACAACCATCTGGAATTAGCTTACTTCCTGCTCATTAAAAATACTTGTGATCTTTTTGGCTGTGTGCCTTCATTTTTTATTTTTGTTCTTTGGATGTATAATAATGCACAGTATGGAAACTGTAAAATTAAAAGTGTTTTTAATGCTATTGTGAAGGAATCACTTTCTCACAATACAGATTAATGCATTGTGAAAATATGATCACTGTATGTATGTTAGTATTTTTTTGAAATCAAAGCTTTTATTTTTACTTTTAAAGGTTTAAGAAAAAAATAAAAAGTTTTAATTTTTTCATTTAACTGAGATAAAGATGGTAACTCTAAAGCTAATGAAAGAAGATACTTATCTTCATCAAAGATATGATCTTTAAGTGTCATGCCTTGCAAGCACAAGGCTGTTTCATGGTATTTTCAGCTGTTGTAGTTGATGTACTTTCAGCATGATGTGTTGACGTAATTGCTGCTGTTTGTCCAGCAGGAGGAGTACAATTACTGCTAGAAATGGAAGAAATAGGCCCTAGTAATTCAATCATGTATGTAAGATCCTAGCAGAAAACAAATAATTTAAATAAGATAACATAGGAGTTCCTCAGTTAGATTGGATGATTTTCAGAATTCCGTTTGCAATGTTCTTGACTTTGCACCTTCATTAAAACTTGAAGAATGTTTTAAGCTCTATTGGTGAAGGCAGAAGGAAACATCAGGTGGGAAGCACCACCATCTGCTAAACAGAACCCAGTTTCCCTGGTTGCAAGTAACAGATCTTGGGAAAAATCATTGAATTTTGTGGAAATATTGTTTAAGGCAGTATTTATTTCAATATATATATTCTTTTAATTAACTATGTGTTATTAACTAAAATCTAGAAGTATATGTCATCTTTTTTCATAAAGAGAATTTTTTTCTTAGGGTTATAAACTGACCAGCAGGGTGGGAGAATTTGTTTAAAGAAAAGGACAGACAATGTCTCCTCTGTATTCAAAAAGAAAAAAAAGAAAAAAAGAAAGGGAAAAAAAGACAACCTAACCCTGCTGTCCTCCTGTATAGTTATATGGATAGTGTATGAACCTTGAAAGAAGTGGGGAAAGTAAATTTCCTGATCTACAAGAGAAGGCAGGAATGAAAGGATAATATTTGGTTAAAACTGAGTATTTGATAGTTTCGTTTTTATGCCAAGATCATATTGCCTTTTAAAAAATCTTTTCCAGCACTGTGATTGTTTCAGAATTATTACTGTGGTTTGAACTCTGTGTAGACTATCATTTTTTTGAATCTCTTCTAAAAGTGCTCTTCCCCTTTTTCACTTTAATCCAAATCAGTCTTGGATTAGACTTTGGAAATTAGAGATTTAGTAGACCTGAAATGGTTTGAATCAAAGAAGTGCTTAATTTAAACATCTGTTCATATTCATAATAAGTATATTTACAAAAGGATTTATTCAGAGTGCAGCTCTTGAGCTATGAATCCATTTTCATATTTTTTTTAAGCCCAATGGATATTCTTCTTTCCTCCTGCTAATCCCATGGCCTTTATTTTTTTGTCTCTCTTTTTTTTTTTTTTTTTTTTTTTGCAATCTGATAGCCTGATAGCCTTTGTTCTGTTTTACACTTTTTTATTATAGCCAGGAAAAATATCTTTTCATTTTTATTGTAAGATATTTGAAGATATTTTTTCAACAGGCTCATGACTTTCATTAATCAGAAAAGAAAATGAATTAGTTATGGTTTTGAACTGGATGCTTTCAATCCATTTTCTGTGTTAATATAAATCTGTAGTATCTATTTTTCTTAATCACCATTTATGTTGATAATATTGAGTATCTGTGAGAACTAATGCTTCCGGATAAGTATGTGGTGTATATTCTGCCCTGAGACTGAGGAAGTTTTGTGAAATCTTTGTCACAAATACTGGCTTTCTGTGGAGTATTTTGGTACTAGCTGTGAAGGGAAAGGTGCTAGACATCTTGGTTTGTGACGCAATCTTAAGCATAAAGCTCCAGTCAATCTCATTTTGTGTCAGGTTTCTGCTTTACATCTGCTATACATTTTCTGCTGTCCATCTCTTATAAGAGGCCAAGAATCCTTGTGGTTTGGCTGTAAGACTAAATGCAGTGGCTAAACGGGTCCTAGAAAACTTGAAGCAGGCACAGCTGAGCTGAGTTCCTCATTTAGAAAAGCAGTGGCAGCCACACACAGGAGCTCTGAAGATTGGAAGGAGCGGTTAGGCTGTGCTGCTTGCAGAACATAAAAAGAAGGGGGCTTCCTGCAGTGCTGGGCTGGTTAAACTCTGGTGGTGGCCTAGGCCAAAGTCACAGATACAGACCAGGCCAAGTGAGGAGAAAGTGCTGTGTGACAAAACCCTGTTGTCCCACGAGGGACAGTTTTTGTGGCGTTCGTGTTAGCTGAGTGCTGTGCACAGACAGAGATGAATTGGTGTTTCAACAAGATGGGTCTATCCAAATTGTATTCAAACTAGGAATAATTGTTGACTAATTATTTTGAGGTGACTTTATAGTATTGGGTGGTTTTCTTCGGAAAAAATACTTCTGTTATTCTTGAGAAGGAATAATAGAACTACATTGGGATAAACTTATGTAATGTGCCAACATGCTACTTGTGTAATTATTATTAATAAAGCAATTTCAGTGATAGTCTGTAAAATGTCCTTTTGTTTTCTCCGCAGTCTTTATGCAGTTGCCTTTTGATTCAGTGGTGAAAACAGTTCTGTTGTTAAGGTCTGGTTACCAAAGCGCTCTCCTAGTAAATGTGCTGAGAATCTTTCTAACAAATACTGTCCTATCTTTATAGATTTCTAGGTGAGGGCCCAGTATTGGTTTCTTGGCTATCATCGTCTCAGTGACAAGTTGTCTGAAAGTATGGTTGGTTTGGAGTAGATTCTCCAAGGACAAGTAAGGACTAGCAAAATGTTGATTGTCACTTCCTCTCTCTGTTCAGCAAAAGCAGTTCTTTGTGGTGGATATTTTTTTTTCAGGGACAAATTAAGGAAAGACATACTAAAATTCCTGTTTTTTCACAACTGTATCAAAGATCCTTCTATTTCTTGCTTAACACTTAAGTGGCAGTCTGTAGTTTTAACATGGTAAAATACATGCTAAAGAATGGAATACAAAATGCATACTGTGTTCCCTAGGATCTTCTGATGTAGGGTGTATATTGATACCTTTTTTTTTCCAGCTGAGAATGGTCTCTTTAAGTAGCATTTTAGGGGGGGATTTAAGATTTTTTTAATTTCATTTTTTAATTAAGTATTCTAGACCCAGAATGTGTTTCCAAGTTCTGACTTTTTTCACAGCTTTAACAGCCAACATGAGCGTCTTTCTAATTCCATATTTAATGTGCTTGGTTTTATCATTCGGACTTTCACTTAAATAATTTAAATGTAATATCAGACTTTTAGACTAAAATAGAATATGCCCTAATTGTTCCTTGTTTAATTAAAATCCAGTATTCCTAGATCTAAGAATTTTTCTTCCTTAAGTAATAATGATTTGAAGTAGGTAAACTTCAAAAGCAGTTGTATTTTTTTCCCCCTCATTCAGCTCACTTTTATGTTCTAGTTGTAATTTAGAGTTTACTTGAAAGGGTTTTAATAGTTCCCTGCTGTGATCCATCTTTTCCAAGTGAAAGAACAGATGTGCATATTCAGAAAAAAAGGCTTGAGAACATAATCATAACGTATAAATAAGAGAATGGCCATGCTAACTCATTATCAAGGGGGGCAAGATAAGGTGTGAACGTACAGCACATGTGCAGTAACTGCCATATACAAATGTTTTCCTGTGATAAAAATTCGGTAAATTATCCTTTGAAAATAATCTAAAAAGCTCTCTTATGCTTACTGCTGCATAAAAGAAGGCTTTCCAGAGCAGTCTTGAGGCAACTTGTTAGTGCTTGCATACCAAAGTTACAATAAGTCATTTGAGGCCAAGATTTAATAGGTGAAGAAAAGTTTATGTTGAACAATAGGCAACATTATAGTTAGATCACTTGATGCCTTGATTTTTATGAATACAATCTTCAGGAGTCAAGCTAGGAATGTTACTCTTTATTACAAAAGAGGTGTTTTTAAATGAAATTTTCTGTGGCTGGGAGCCAATATTAAAAAGCCTTATGATGAGGATTGTTTAACAGATTGGTTTTCGTATGTTTTATAGCTATCCAGCTTGGTCTGAGGTGAATGACTAAATCATGATTTTACTGTTTTCTCAAACATTAAGTATCTTTGGTTATCTGGCCAGGAAGTGTTTCCATATATAAATAAAAGATTCTTGTTTATAGTTTTAGTACATTCAGTGGCTGAAAATCCAGTACTCGTCTTTAGCAGTAAGTTTTTGGGGACAACTGTTGTCTAGTACTACCACTGGATTCAAAGACTTAATTTTTAAGTGCTAAAGATTCTTTGTTCTCTCTTTCTAGGATGTATTTGTACGTAGACATGAACTTGCTCTTCTAAGAATATCTGCCTTCATGGGTCTGGTAGTACTAGGTGGAATAAGTGGTCTCTTTTATACTCAGCTAATGGGTATTTTCACTGTAAGTATCCGTTAATTTTAGAAATTTAATTTGGTCTTTTAATTTTGTTATCAATATTAGACTTAATAAAAGTAGAATGCATTATAAAGAAATAAAAGGGAAATATTTCCATTCTGAGGCACCTCTCTGGTGAGCTCTGTCAAGACTTTTCTCTTTTAAGGAAGTCTTAGGAAGCCCTCTTGCCAAGAAGTGTCTAATAATTCACATATTGAGGCAATTTCCTGATTCATATTAGTGAAATCAAGTCATGCACTACCCAGGAAATGAACAGTGAATTCACTGTGAAATACTAGTTATGTATTTTGTGGATCATTAATTTTTGCTTTTATTTTAAAGTCTTATGTGCTCTGCTCTCAATTAGACTTTGTGACAGTGAGGCCCACCAATTAATCATTCATTTTAAGAACACAGCTTTTTTTTTATTTTTTATTTTTTATTTTTTTTTAAGTCCTTGAGATATATGAAAGTAAGCGAATTTATTTAAGTTAATAAATTTTGGCACAGGATCATGTGCAGCGTACAGTCTAAATGCATATTCTGTATATGTAAAAAAAACTATATGGAAAAATACTCTAGTTAAACAATTTTGACAATGTAATAAGTAAGAAAAGTATGTTTTTGCTGCACACTAGAAATTAATTAATAATCATTTTAAATTGTCTTAAAAATCTGTTAAAGTGAAGTTCTCCAGTACAGAATAGAGAGCACATACTTGTCAAATCTGTACATGTCTGAGTGTATGACTTGATCTGCAAAATTTTTTGTTAATGAGAATAATATACAAGATGACAACGTTTTGCATATTGAGTTACATGGTGATTGCTGCTAATTCTGAATTCTTGCTGGGATTACATTTTGGGATTACAGGAATATTAACCTTTGCAGGTGCAAAATGGAAAACCTTCTAACCATGTGACCTAATGGCTTTACATGGAATAAAGGGCAAAATGTCCTGTTTAGTTTTTTACTGTTAGATCAAACTGTAATAATATTAATATTACCTTTCTCTAAGTTACAGCCTCCCATTTTTTGACTTTATAGTCAAAATATATAGTTCTTTGTTTTTGCTCTTCACCAGCTGCTCTAACATACTACTTTTTGCCCCTTCTTTTGACCTGCTGGTCTGTTTACTGTGTGCCTCTTTCCTGTTCTGGGGCTTGCTGACAGGATGTTACCTCTCTAAGTGCTGTCACGCAACCTTGTCTCTCTACTCTAAAGTCGGGATCTTTTTCCAATCCTCTATTTATCTGAAGTAGTGCAGACAACTGGATTTTCTGGCCTCCTGTTCCCACTTCAAGGAGATACTGAAGTTCAGTGGACTTCAATCTCCAGACATTGTAATATGGATGGCCTTTGAGCCTCTGTTAAATAGGTATCTGAGAAGTACAGTGAAAGATGGAAATGATTTAGAAGAAAGCAAAGGACAAACCCTAAATCTACAGCTCTGTTCTAGTCATCTCTTTGTGCTGCTGGGAGCTGGGATTAATTTTGGTAGTGGTCTTCAGCATTTATCCAGATGCCGCCAGGATACAGAAAACAGAAACTCTGAGGCTGAAGCAGATTCTGTTTACAGAAACACCTGAAACTCGGGACTTTTCTGTTTTGGCACAAGATGCCAACTGTACTGCATCTGAAACATGCATGAATCCCCAGAATGTTCTTGCATACTTAACACCTTCAGGCAGGCAGCAACCTTGCAAACTGTGAAACAGAATAAAAAACTTCTTTATCCTGTGTCAGTTGCACAGTATACTGTTGGTGCATGTCGTGGCACCTACCGAGACCACCACTAGCTGGAGGAGCAGGCATGATCTCATAGCAGTTTCAAGTCTAACCTCCTTTCTGTGCTCAAAATCACTCCATGGATGGTGGAGTTGCAGAAACCCTGGATTCTCTCCTGCCCCTTTGTCAAACTAAATCATTTCTTTACAAAGGCCTTTGGCTATGCTCTCTGTGTTGAGTAGAGATATTGGGCTCTAACCCTACAGCACCCAACAGGGCAGAAACTGGAAGCATGCAGAAGACGCTTGCTATAGCCCAGCTCTAGTGGAGGAATTAATTCAGGCTTGGGCAGCAGTGATGGAATAAGTATGTAAAAAGCATAACTATCTGCCCATCATTGTCCCAGGGGTATCCCCTTCTGGCAGCTCACAGATTACAACATGCTGCCATTTGAGAAACCGAAGGAAACTTTTATCTGTGAAAAAAATTGGTTTCAGAATTCAAAGTACAGGCACTGGATGATATTATTGAGAAGGATGCAGCCCAGTACATCCTTAAAGATTCTTAACCTCCACTTTTTCTGCAGACTCTTTTGTCACAGAAGTAGGTGACTATATGCATGTTGGGTTATACCTGAGAATCTGTAGCCTTCCTTTTGGCAGTCACTGTTCTATAGAAATATAGAAATACTCCTGCGTTTTTTTAGGTAAAATTGCTATTTTTTTGTGAACAAGCTCAAGTGAAAACCTGTAACATAGTATCTATTTTCTTTTTTTCCTATCTGTCAAAAACTGCCAAGGTTATGTTTTTAGAAAAAGAACTAAACTCATGATTTTACTAATTTTGAGCTTTTTTATAGCAATATTTTTGAATCTCCATAAAGTAAACTTGCTTGACCTTCTTTATATGTTTTTCCAGAAACCAAGCCAACAGTTTCTGTTTCATGTCACTGAACAACAGTGATATGAGCAGCTAAATAAATCCAACTGTTTTGTTATTGGATATGCAGATATGAAAAATACTCTGTTCCCAGTTTCTTTTGGTATCTGCTAAACATGATAATGTCAGACCCACAGAAGCACCTTTTTATACAAAACTGCAGTGAAATTCTTTCTTCGGTATCATCAGTAGTGAAGAACTAGGCCTTGAAATGTCACCTTCTGCCTTCGTTATTTGGCTTTGCCAAGTTTATATGATTAGTGTAGCAAGCAGCTCAGCTACGAAGTGACCTACATGCTGCTTTAGAGTTCCCAATTATTTGCAGCAAATATTAGCAGTAAAAAAAAAAAAAAAAAAGCAAAGAGTTTGTACTTTTTCACTGCAACAAGAATGTATAGAAAAAAAAAATGCATGAAGATACTTTTGCATACCGTGTTCATTTGGCCTGCTTCTGGGCATAATTTAAAATGAATTGAGCTTAGTAGTAGCTTGACAAATTATATGAAAAAGCAAGCATTTTTTCATAGGATTTTAACGAAAAATAATAAGGAAAAACTTTCTCATTTTGAGTAGCAATTTTCAGATGTTGAAAAATGTCATTACATTTTATATATAACGGAATTGATATAATTCCTATACTTTGTTTTGTTACTCTGAAATAAGGCCAAAAATAAGAAAATAAGCACTTTGTGATGTATAGCTGATCTGTTGAGCCTTATGTACTGGCACTTACCAAAATGCAGTGTTGCGGTGTCATTGACTTGTTTTCTGTGCCCATCCTTGTACAACTGTCTTCAGTTATGACAGCAGATCAGTTATGTAAGGGTTCCTGAATTAGGGAAGGAAACCTACATCCGCTAATGTAACCTTGTTTCAAGTGTGTTCAGTAGAGGAAGAGGCTTGGAAATAAGTGTTCTCTTCCACACACACATAGAAATGCAAATTTGGCTTTAGTATAGATACTGTTCTTAAGGATGTACTGTTTGTGAAGGTGATTAATTGACAAAGTTAGTCTATTAGTTAGTCTATTAGTCTATTATCTATTAGGAGTAATATTTCAGGGTCTTACCACCTCTGTGACTGTGGTAAGACTGTTAGTGCGTCCTAAAAGCCCAGCTATTCGCATCTCATCTGGAGGTTTAGGCAGCCAAAGATCAAGGGAGGTAACTTCCTACAATGAGAGGGGAAGTGTGAGAACAGCTGGCAAAAAACTGTCCTCAGAGGAACTTCTGATGTGAATTGTTCTCATGAAGAGGTCACTTTATAGCAGATTAGTGCTTTCTCCTTAGAAACTAGCATATGTGAAATACCCTTTTAGCAGAAGGGGCACATGGCTCTTTTCATCCTCCTTCTCCAGTTGCTTTCCTCATGCCCTCATTTGCCTTTATACTTGTCATGATCCAGAAGTTGTAACGCTTCCTGCTTTTGTATACCAGACCTCTCTTGGTAAATCTGTTTTTGGATGCTTTGAAAATAGAGGAAATTAGAGGCTCCCTCTAAGCAGAAGTCTCTGAAAGATGGGAGATATTTAACATCATAATTTAGAAAATAAATATAATCTTTTTTAAAAAAACTGTTGGTAGGTGAGTTCAGAAACATTTTTATGTTTCTGAAGAGTGGAAGAAATTGCTCTTTAAAATATTACCTAGGAAAGCAGTCATACCAAATATTCTTTGCTTGGTGCCAGTTTTTCCAGTTTTCTATTGTTGCTTGCTTTGCAAAATTAAAATTAGATCTTGCTTAATTGGAAATGCATCTGTATTCATTTCTGAACAGTGTGGTTTTTTTTTTAATGACTTTGCTTGAGAAATAAAGACAAACTTAGCATGAAACAATAAGAAGACAGATTTTTGTCAGTTGCATCCTAGAGAGATTGAATGTTACAATGTTCTACTAATGAGAATAACATCTTTCTAGATTCCTTTTTAGCTTTTTTTTTTTTCTCTCTCTTTGTCTCTCCTTACTGTCCTTTACTTCAAATTGGCTAAGCTCCCATGTTGACCTCAGCTAGTCAACAGGATAAGAAAATAGCTTCAGTAGAGGCACTATGGAACCATTCTTTCTTCAAGGCAGAAATATTTATCTTTCTTTTTTCTTTTTTTTTTCTCTTTGTTTGTCACATCATTCGTTATTGTGAAGATACTACTTAAATGTAAACTATCATTTTGCCCAGATTCTTGTTTCAGATAGGTCTAACATTTCTAGAAAAAAAATATGTATATATGAAACATACAAAAGACATTCTACTGTAAAGTGAATGCAAAGTTAATCAAGAAAAGGATATTTTGTACTTCCAAAAAAAAAAAAAAATATGTACAAGAGCAGTTTTCCATGCACTT